TCATTCCGAACTGAAATAATGCGGGAAGGCTTGGTCGAGAGCATTTGGCGAGAGACGAAGTGCCTGCAGTGCGCTCTTTGCGTTAGATTATTCATAGTTCAGATTTGGCAATGCCTGTTTTCGATTTAGCAACCTGTGGGTCGAAAAGTTATCAACAAATTTTGGGGTGATTTCTCACGGTGGAGCGGTGTTCTCATTTTTTGTAGTCAGTGTATGTCTAAGTACTTGTGCTTTTTTAAGTCCTCCTGAGTCAGTTGATTCACTTGGACCCTAGATGGTCTCAATCAAGCATAATGAGTTGCACGCGTGAGGCAATCTATGATCAGGGTGCTACAAAACGGATGATGAGAATCGCCCTGTGGGGGAATGGGGGTGGGTTCGCGGTGAACAGGTTCGGGTAATCGGAGCATCGTTGATTAAGCTGACCCACACTTGGGTTCTCAATCAGTCAATCGGTTGGTCAGCTCGTGCGTGTGCACTCACGGATAGATAGACAGAGAACGACAGTCCATTCTGTCACTAATCGTCCGTCTCATAACGCATTCACGTGGGTGACCAGCTGATCCAGTTTCGGATACATTGGGTTACACGATGTACATAATGTGTGCGTTCGAATGAGCGTGAGAATGACCGAACATGTGTGCTGATCTATAGTTCGAGTTGAACATGTTTGGCATGTCTGTAGGTACGCCTGCGCGCGCGCGCGAGAGAGAGAGAGCAACGGTGTCACAAGGGGAGGGAAATCAACACGACAAGTGTGAGTGCTTGTCTGACATGTCATCCAACGCTTCCAACTATTCCGAGGAATGGATATCGTTACACACGTCATTGTCTATAGAGTTTGTTACGGCTATTGTTTGGTGAGAATGAAGCCTGATGCACTGCTTACTCCGTGCACGTGATTGTTTGCCCACCAGCACCAGCACCAGCACCACCACCACCACCACCACCACCGTATTTGGAGGTGATTCGCATTTGCTACACTTACCATGTACCAAGTGTGACTGCCCAACGGTTCAGACCTGTGCATGTTCCCTGGTTTCGACTGATGGATTGGGAATTGGGCGGGATTGTGACGACTAGCCGTTGATTTCTAGTCCCCAGACATTAGAATCTATCGTGGAACTTGATAACTGAGATAGCTTCCGTTATGATTATGCTGACATGGATATCGCTATCGCAGCCGCTGTCAACTAAAATGATAATGGTGTTACTAGTATCAATATGCTATCAGTATACAGTATAGAAATATCGGCAGAATATACCGCCCCATAAATTTTAAAGCTCTATGCTTTCGCACCACTAATCATTCGCTTTTGTATCCCCAATAATCGTTCGATTTATCTGTTCATTTATTTTGATGTCACTTTTGTTGATTTACACCAATTACAAAGATTATTTGATGAAACGGTGATATTGACGAATAATTTGCCTCAGTAACCTTATAAGACGAACTTAAATGGGCTTTTCATTGTTAACCGATGATGCTCCAACTGACCAAAGTGCGCAGTGTCGGGAAAAATTCCTTCACCAATCATCGGAATAATGATCACGGTATTCTGAAGTCCATAGTTGTTTTGCCTCCCATTAAAAAATAGTGCCTGTACTTTACGGTCGTGCATTGATCCAAATTCATTAAGTTTCAATGTATCTAAACATATTCATTTCACATGTGACAATATACCGAAGTGATGATTTCCTCCGATGATCGTTCACCGAATTTTAAATTGCCACTGTGGCGTTTTATCAACCATGCATCAATTGTGTGCTTAAAAGCTAGCTAGGTAGTGCTTTCAACACTGAAAGTTGTGACATAAACAAACAATACTGTGGAGTGAAAAGTGTGCAAACCGGGTTCCTAATTGAGTCAGACAAGCTATTACTTTTCGGCCGCATCCTGCTGTGTACCTATTTCGTCCTGTGTTTCCCTCTCTATCCTCCACGGCGGGTGGTCACCGAGCAGACCGCGTGCCACCGTGCGTGCCTGCGTGTGTCTCCAATCCGATCGATTTGCTTCGTTCGCGTAAGCTTTGCTTTGATTACTGTCATTCGTTTGCGATTAACCCCGGGCGAAAACATACAATCATGTGAAAAACCCATGTACAACTGCTAATGTTGCTCGTTTCGAAAAGTGTGATTCACGAGGGTCGAGCGCTGGTAACTAAAGTTTCATATTTCCAGCACGACGATCAGGCCCCAAACCGAATAAACTCAGATGAAATTAGACTAGGTTGGTGGAAGGTGAGTGTTAGCGAATCAAGCGAGATTGTTGTGTGATTTGAAAATCGCGCACTCTCCCTCTCTCTGTAGGAACTCGTCAGTGGGAAGGAGAGAACAAAGGCCCATAGGATATAATGTGACACGTTTCTTCAACTCATCGTCGTATCTAAACGAATAGTTCCCACTTATCATACAAATTCGAGTGTATAAGTCTGTTCATGAACCTGGTCAGGGTGGTGGTGGTGGTGGTGGTTGATCGTGAAAAATGCAGGAAACAGTGCTAATCGTTTTCACCATTTCGATGGCGAGTTTTCGGTTGTGATATTTTTCTTTGAAGAAAAAAGTGGTTCAGTTCATTCTTTTGTACGGATTAAAAATGATACTTGCTGTATTGGAACACGAATAAGATCAGGACAAGTTTTTGAAGAAAGGAAACATGGTTTGATGTATGTATTAGACATTTATGGTCAAGTTTGCCATTCTTGGCGGATATTATGTTTAGTCTTCAGGACCTACATTGAACTCAAAGTAGACCTGGAGTAATATCAAAATAATCTGTAACCCAAAACAAAACAGCAATACCTGGATATTATAATTAGGCTAAATCGATTAGATCATTTGCATGCATGTACTATAGACAGTTTCAAACTAATAAACATGCCCTAAATGTCACTAAGCTACCGTATCCAACAGGCGCTAGCGAGTTCGGCACTTTGCAGTTATTGTTATAACTGAGTCGCCAACGTTGACAGATGCGTGCGAAAAAGGTGTCTCGTCCGGTGACGCGGTCATTACGACGGGGTGCACACACAAAATCTGTGAAACTCTGGTGTGAACGACGAGTTGAAAAATTGACTGAACGAACCATGAATAACCGATGCGACACTAACTGGGTCGTAGTAGCATGGGAATATTTCACAGTGCACAAATCGATTGGTCACCTGAAATGAGTCAGAATCAGTGACGTGGAGAGAGAGGAGGGGGGGAAGGTGCTGTAAGAGTAGAGCCATCAGTCAGCTGATTTGGCTTGTCCTTCTATGATTATTTCTGTCCCAGTGTGTGGTTTTTGTTATTCTGATGAGGGGGGTGAAGTGTGACTGCGCATTTTACCTGAAACACAGAGCACAATCAATAAGTGTCGAATTGTGTCAGAAACGCGAGTACTTCGAGTCTATCACTGTTTTCAGGACAGCTAGGAAAGCAAGTCGATTGTGGATACCCCAATACGACCTCCGCCCCCTTATTTTGTCTGTAGCTTTAACTTTATCAAAGTTTCAGTGAGACGACCGCGACCTTCCGGTTTGACATGAGGGGCCACAGTGTATTTGAGGTTAATGTATTTAAGAAATGCGAGGTTCTTCCTCTCCCCATCTGTCTACACTCTCATTTGCTCTTTTTTACAAGTGATGAAGCTACATACTGAGAGTTGACATAAACTGATGAAAAAACTATCGCTGAGAGGGCTTTCAGTTGATGTGAGCAGTTTCCCCTACGGTTCTCATGGCCACATGCCCATAATATTCACGCCCGTTCAAAAGACGCGTGTCAAATTACCAGGATCACTAAGCCCACATTCTGATTCATTTGTCTCTCTTTGGGCGCGCGCGCGCACGCGCACTGTATGTGTTGGCATCCAGACAGCTGCAGTCACGCAAACCTAGTGATCGATTTGGCGGATGACAGACACTGGGAAATGTAGCACACTTGGGAAGAAAATCATTTGATTGCACAGGTGATATTTGTTTCCGACATTCTCATGGGCGGTGATTCATGTTCAGTCAATATGACCTGTTCGGGTTCAGGGGACACTAAGGTAATCGTCCATCTGTTCCGTTTCGGTACGCTGGACAAACAACAGGTTCGACGATGAGCAATGCCATCGGGGGTGTGACGATTTGGTCATGTGGGGTTAGACCACCTATTCGCTGTCGTCGGAACTTAGCAAGACTAAATCATCACTTGCGTTGTAGCATTTCGATCAGACATGGTCAGTCGTAAGCACTACTTGGCACACACAGGCGTTCTGTGTTCAGTCCTTCTGGCGGCAGTTTTATCGGCGTCTGCAAAGTTTGTCTATCAGTACACACTCACACACACAAACACACACACACCACCACCACCAAACTATTCGAAACGTCTCGTGCTGAAGTGAAGCTAACACAGAGGTAACGAAGGCATCAATCAGATTTAGGATCTGTTCCGAATCTGCACAAATCCATCAGATCTTATCGCAGTGTGCCTAACCATATGCAACAAAAGGGGCTGAACTGTCGTCCTTGTTGCGGTTATTTGGTCGGTATCACCACAGGCCAACCTCTATCTGATGCAATAATGTGAATGGTGTATGAAATACTCATTCTATTCATATCTCTCTATCTTTCCGCGTGTGTGCGTGTGTACGCGTGAAAGATTGATCACAGAGACAACGGTGCTGTGTCACGCTCACAAATCCCGCGTAATTCGACCACTCTACGCAGTCACACATGCACATACAGAAAGAGAGAGTGCAAAAAACGAAAGCTCATTCAACCCCGCTCGGGATCAGACCTAGTGACGCTCCAATAGGCGCGTGTTTCAACGCGCTTGGTAGCGAACGCAGTAACAACCAAAAACAGTAGCAACAACAACAACAGCGTCATCCACAACACGTGTCACGACTCTCAAAATGGTCAAGTTTATAGATGATTTTTATGACATCTCTCTAATTTCACATGCAGCGAATGCTGAGACGAAAACACAGTTGCGATCACTTTGTATCGCGTGTTTCCGCATCTCGGTCTATGTGTGCTTGCGCGCACTCTTTTTTGTTTTATGAGGCACAAAAGTGTCCGGAAAGCCGGGTACGTTATTGTTGGGGAATGAAGGGTATGGGTAATCAGGTGCTGTGGCTAAAACAGCTTTGGGCGGTGGGGGAACTGCCTAGAGTGACAGAGGGCTGTTGAACACGATCGAACAAAATGATCTCTGCCTTCATTTGTGGAGCCATCAATGGGGGTGGATGAAGTAGAATAGGACACGGACCATGGAGGGGAGAGGGTTTGAGTTGAACACATGGTTTGGTAAATCTGACTAACTCGTCGTAAAGTTGGTCGTAGAGTAACTATCCGCGCTTTTCGCTTAGTGAGTGTTTGGAGGGTGCCAATTTAATTGCATTGCGTTGCATGCACTCACTGTTTTCAATCTGAAGCATAGTTGAATAGTTCTGATAAGGCCATTTAGAGGCCAAGTTGGGGTTTTGGCCCAGAGATGGAACAGAAGCTGGCGCGAGAGAAAATGTGTGAAGCTCAGACGCACCGACTTCTGGAAAGCATTACGCTCAACGGAGATAGAGAGAAAATTGTCTTATGTATGCCGAGGGTAGTAGACGTTGTCTAGGGCTAGTTCACGTCAGTTCTGCGCTTCTCATTATAAATTCAATCCATTTAGTTCGTTGGACGTAAGTTAATGCTTTCGTTGTTTAAGTGTCATGGGTCACTTGGCGTACCGGTCAGCTTCATTAAAATACACACGCGGACACCTGGTCGACGACAACAATGTGAAAGCGAATCGACTAGCTTAACGAACCCACTTCCTGTAAAAACGCTCAACTAACTGCTTTGTTTTCACCAGAGTTACTGGAATTTCATTTGCGATGCGGACGAATCATAATTTTAACGTACATCGTTATCTGGGCGAACATGAAAACCAAAAGGAAGTTATATTACATTTTATTTGTTTTCCTGAAAGTTTTGCTTTAACCAAAAACACGATTGCTTATTGGCTTTATATTAAAAAAGAACATTGAATTATTTCCAGATCTGGAACGGAAATTTCAACTGGAGCCGGTATCAACGGATCTTTCGGTTGGTAAACGCCTTGTTTTGACATGCATTCCCCCCAAAGGCAAACCAGATCCAGAGGTAAGCTTCACTGAACAAAGAACCGGGTTTCATAAGCATTACTCCTCTGCTGTTTGGTGTGGTTTTCACGCAGAGACAGGCCGTGGCACACCCCGGTACAGACCGTTGGGTCGTATTTTCTGATTGATAGCTTCTCTATTTAATTAACCACAACGAATTGCATACGGTTCCCACCACAAATAGACTAGCGTGTATGAACACGTGTTTCACCCGCTGTAAGTCAGGTTTTCACTCACAGCCGAGTTGAGGGCACACAACACACTTCACTAACTTCTAGATACACGTTTGGCACGATAACTACTTATTGGCGTTTCGGTTCTGTGAACGGAAAATGACAGTGAGCGTGAATGGACGACGAGTGAGTCCATTTTTGTCATCCGAGTACAAATGCACTCAAGTTGACTTCTAACTGTGCAAATTAGAGGTTTGAAGTCTTTCTGTTTGTGTGTGTGCGCGCTTGCCACCCGGGGACATCACACGTTATGTGGAATTCGAAGATGTCGCTCCGCCGTCGAGAAATATCAAATGTCTATTCGTTTCACGGCCCATCAAGTTTCGAAAATGCAATCATGGTGGAACAGAGTTAATGATAGTCTTCGTCGGTCTTCCCGCCACATGGGATTCAATGGATAGTCTGACTTCCCATCAGTTGCAAATAAACGAAGCTAACTTATCCATTCATCCAAGGATTCGGAATGCGTCAGACTTTGAAAAAAATTACCTTTCAACCCACCCCAACAAACGGACTCCCAGTAAAGCAATCAAACGGTGTTTTGAAAAGCACAGAATAAAACAAAGCAAACGGTATAGCGAATTTTTCTACCGCAACGCGCGATGTGAGTTAGCCAGAATATGAGTTTGATATAAGCTAAGATCAAAGGTGGAACAGAAATAGTGTTCTATGTAAATGGTCCGTTCATTTTAACAGCCATTGGTCACAAAGCACACGGAGATGAACCAATGGATTTCGGAAGCACTTTAGCTTTTGATTGAGCACAGTTGACGAGGTGCTTAGTGTATGTTTGCACAGATTGTGGGATGTAGGGTGTTGAAGTGACAGATCAATGCTCAAGACCATTCTGGCTTTCATGCCATGCTCAATTCGAGACGCAAAATAATTTTTAGTGTAAAAGAGCGATCAATTGTCAGTCTTAATATGAATATAAAAATATTACTGTAAAAATAGATTTTGATTAACTCATGTGAATTCAATTAGTAATAATTTTTGGACAGTTGTGTGGGCTATTCTTCATTGATTTTGTCTTACTATCGTTCGAGCTTCATCTTCGCACAAATCCTCAGATCATCCAGATAACCATGCACTCAAGAAATACTACAATGAAGTTTCATCTGTAATGTGTACTCATCTACCCGATGGAACTCCGAACCCCTATCATGAAAACTGTGCATCTTCACTGTACCAGCCAACTTACACCAGTTTGGGTGGATCAAATTGCAAGCTTACTTCAATTTAGTTTAACATTCAGTGCGATCTACCACCTGCATTCTTTTTAAAAAAATCCGAATATATATTGCATTGGATAATCGTAAATTCAATTTGTTTTTATGCTGTAACAGATCACTGTTTGGGTATAAAGGATTACGTTTCAAGGAGAGCTAGATANAGAAAGCTGCATCCACTTCCACGTGGACGACTATGATTCGTGTACCTTGCCTATGCGTGTGCAACAAGGTCCAGATTCGTCATACAAACGGTGACTTTGGGGCCTAAAATTCAAAGGCTCAATTTCGGAACCATTCATTCATGTATGTGTTGAACAAAATGTCTACACTTCGAAACTCTCTGATTCTTTGCGAGTTAGAGATTGACGGTTCACAGTAGTCTTTTATCCTTCCACTTGTTTTTCTTCGTTCCCCCTGGGGAAAAAGAAACACTGCACGTGTCCGACGAAGAATGTAATTATATGTGAATAGTTAAAGTTAGCGAGCGATTTCGGCAAAAAATACATCGTTAATTCGATCAGATTGGACCTGACTCGAATGTATCAGGTAAAATCTCTCATATATTTATATATATGTATACATATATATATTTATATATATGAAACTTATCTGAAAAGCTTATCAGAAAAACGTTCCATGATTGGTTTGTGGGCTGAATACTGCCAAGTTGCCCAGACCAAGACAGGCGAATTTCCTTGTTGAATCCACAACCGGAGCCTTGTGCTAGCCAAGGCAGCTGGACGATGTGAAAACCGCAATCCAATGGGATCCGGTGTCCAGTTCATCGGATCATAAACCCTTCGGACGTGGTCAAACGTCCAAGGTGCTCAATACACCTCAAAGCGCAATTGAGCCGGTGACCATTGTCACAAGCGAAAAGGTGTGGGTGTAGTTCGTACGCCTCCTCTTGGTTGGTTTGGAATCAGGGTTTTTGGCCAACTACCCTAGGAGAACTACCAGTGGTCCACCAACCCGATTATAGCCCCGGATGTCGGCTTTTCGCTCCCTCACTTTGACGGGAAAACACCTCGCCATGAGAACGCAGTGAGTAGGGTTTCCTCAGCAGACGCTATTTGAGAGGCTTGGTCGTTTGGGAGCATTTCGCGAGGCGCAAGGGATGGGGAACCAGCTGCAACCCTAGACATCCACCTCCGATCATACTGAGGCTTTCGGAGGTTTAGGTCATAACATGTTACGTGACCGCACAAACCACAGACAGAAATAGACTTCAGTAATTTAGAATAAGACACACTGGCTCAGAGTTTTTGGAAGCACCCTGATTTTTGTTCACCGTTTATCGACTAAGGGAAAAAGTAGTCAGTAACCGTTACAATAGCCCCTTAGGGTGTAAAAGTATAATGCTCTGCAAGCTAACCTGATCACATCGAGAAAAAGGGATTACCTTACTAAGTGTGGTCTCAAAACGGACCTGACATTGAATGTGAAATATACAGTGGATAATTGCGTCCCTACAGTCTCTTTCCTTTGTGGTTGCGGATACATTAGCAGAGGAAACGATGTAAGTTAATGCAAAACCAGATAGTTTAAACTTTTCATTTTTCCGGCAAGCCAATTCGCAATGTGTGAAAATTAAACGAAGGTTGGGCAACGCCTCAAAACTAGTCCATTAAAGAACCAACATGGTTCGCGCTGAAACAGTTAAGATCCTATTGTTTCTCACAGACAAAACGTCGTATCAAGACAGTCGGCTATCTGAGTAGGACAAAATATGCTCAGAGCAACCAGTAAAATCCTGAGTAAATAGTTTTTCGAAAGCCTCAGTGAGAGGCTGTATAAAAGATTATTTGATTATCTTGGTCTTTTTTCCAATAGTTTGATTAAGTCTTCATTTGGATGAATATGTTTAAAATGTAATTAAAGTAGAACTGATTTCAAGCATTTACTATCAACACTGTCGAAGTATTCTCCGGTTACTAACGGCTCTACAAATGTATATTCCATTTATTCACATATCAACAATTCAAACGTTTCTTTCAATCATTGTATTTTATGTGTTTTTTGTTTCTGATTTTCCAGCGATAAGAATGAATTGGTTCGTAAATTTCATCGCATGCTTGCTCCCACGACCCAGACATGCAGAAAACAACACATGCCAGTATCTTTATCACTAAGATGGTACCTTGGATACCAACCGTGATAAACATTATTTGAAAAGTTTGTGAGAACCTGCTTGAATAAATCTATCCAGATAGGAATATATAACTGGAGCGTGCAAAATGGCCCACTGTTCCGCGCAAAATGCACTAGCAATAAATATACAAAGTACCGACGCACGTAACTGATACTCAACATCGCGTTCCCTACCGCTTCCCCACCTTTGTCCGCAATATTTGTATCAGATAACTCATGAATAAGATGTGCACCTTCCTGTTTGAGGATGGACATGATTAATGTGATTCTGAGCAAGACAGTGGCATACCAACACGCAGACTATCTCGGGTATATATAAAGTTGTGGCTCCCTGGCTTCCGACCACTTTGTGTGCATTTGCAACCGACCAGTTTCTGTGTGATTGAAAAGCAAAACGACCATGCATTTGGGGTGAACGTGTCAGTGTGAATTCTCAATTGCTATATCGGAACTCACATTCTCTATCTACCGGCTAAAAGTTGACTATCATTCAGACAGATGTTCTTAGCCCTTCCGTGTGCATTCAATGCACTCAAGCCTGCAGTGCAAAACCGTGCACCTGGTCGGCTCGATTTTGATGGAATGAAAACGCGAGTAAATTGGGGCTGCTGGTCTGAAAATATTTCAGACCAACTGAACAAAAGATGCGCAACCTAATGAAGACGACAACGTTAGTTGGGCGTTAGAAACCATACAAAGTCGAGACCTGGGGAGGAATAGGCATAGTACATGCTCATTAATCACATGAGCACGAGGATGAGTCTTGTTCTGTTTCCATTTGCCGGTCAAACAGTACCGAAAAATCGCCGTTTTCCCTATTCATATTTCTGCCCTGTTTACTTCGACTCCAGTTTCGTACACTGCTCCAGCGCATGTTTGTCAGATAGAAGGCGAAATGGGCCTCGTGAAGCGGACTGGGAACATCAATTAAATTCGGTGTGGACACAGAAACTTTACACGTGCGTTGTGCGCGTATCTGTTCCGGAAGTGTTGTGCTGTACTACTACTACTACTACTACTACTACTACTACTACTACTACTACTAGAAGGGGAAGTGATGACAGGTTGGATTAGATTAGCCAACTGATTAACTCATTCGTGGCCTAACAAGAATCTGTCCAACCTTGTGCAGAAAACCGTACTTCTGAGACAATGGCGGATATTGCTGTCAGACTTGGTCGTGATCAGTTGAAAGCTGTTTTGCGCTCGGTTGTATTCTGTGGACTGTGTAAACAGTAAATGCTTGTTCTAGGTATCTCAAAATAGACAGGTTGCCCCGGAGTGTGAACTATATAGGTGAATAGTCACCTCCCTCGTGTTCAGTGGAAAGGAGGAGCCTGGCCTTACACCAGTCGTCGCTGTCAGTTTCCTCTCGTAGATTTGCGCTTATCAGGAAGATTGATCTATTAACCAGACTATTCTGATGAGGACAAGATTCAACTGATTTGGTTGCTTACTACAGCGTTTTACTCTACTTCATCCACTCTGTCCTTCATCAACAAGCAAATCGGAATTGTTGCACACCTATGGTCTTCCCACGACCAGCAGGGTGACGGTCAATCGAGCATAGTAACACCTGTGGTTACAGACACTACCAAGTACCATGATACCACCAAAATATCCCTTCAAAGTGTAATATAAAAACGGAAGAAATTCTCGTCAGCATTCTATTTAGGTCCTGTCTTCTCAATTATCGTGCGGACTAAAAACGCTCGATTTTACCAATCAACGGAGCACATAAATTAATCGCTTACACGAATCTCATTTCTCTCTGTTCCCATCCTTTCTCTAAACATTTATATCGGACGGCACATATAATTCCATTGCAACTAAACTTCTTTATCATATAGGATCCACCGATTAATACTCAAGGATTAGGACCCATACAATACACTTGTCCTGTTGTCTGCGTGTTCGCATGGAAAAGACAAGAAAACTGTCTCATTTATGTATATTCATGCAATTCAGTGTGTTGTACATCGCTCCCTTTACTCAGCTGAATGAATTTGAATTTCACTCCGACGGTTCAAGGTTCGAGTCCCGCCAGGGATACAAAAAAATAATGAGCACTAGTGAGCACCGACAAATACGAAACAGCTTTTTGTAATATTCTGTGTCGTGAAACCCCAGATCAAATTTCACCTGAAAAAATGAACTTGTCATTTGAGGCATATTTTCACGCTCATGTTCAATCCTAATGATAAATCCGGAGGGAGTTTTGTTTCCATTGTTCAAACTGAACACATCTATCTCATTCCATTTCAGGTCTACTGGTTAAAAGATGGAAAACGAGTGAACGGTCAGGCATTCCCGCACATACTGATCAATGATTACAATCACCTAATCATTGAAAATTCAACCACTACGGACAGTGGAAACTATACTTGCGTGGCGGAGTGTCTCGGTGTGGAATATCGTTACGCAAATGCCAAAGTGAATATATTCCGTGAGTTACTAATCCGGTCACTGCCCTCGCCATTTTTCCCTATTCATTTTACTCGAGCTTCCGCCCCACCGTTTCTCCCTCTTCATTACTCTCACTCTGGGGGAATTCTTCACCCCGGATAATTCATCCTACTCCTAAGTGACATTTAGAACCGAAAAAAAGAGATCGGTGACCTTCACAAAACATGTAGACTAACTTATAATGAATAATGTTTTCATGTAGTCACGTCTCTATCCGGTATGACAAAGAAGCCTACTAATTCCAATTCCTAGTGTGTTTGGAGGTAGAAGAGGAGAAATAAGAGAACAGTGTTAAATTTCAGTCGATTTACAAGTAAAACCGTCAGTCTATCACAGGAAACCGGGGGCAACATGGGAGTTAGTTGAATCCCGTCAATTTTTGCCACGGAATATCATTTGGATCGTATCTTCGGTCATAAAATCTGTTGTATGCTTAGTTTAGGAAAATTAACGGTATCTAAATGCTTTTTCTTCGCCAATGCGTTTCACGTGATAGTTGATATTGATTTTAGCTGTCTGTTTTCTGATTAATTTCAACATATCGAAATGGGAAGTCTTCAGATTGTTGTCGTATCCGTTATAGCACTTTTGTTTGTTTGAATTAGTGATCCCAACTTCCGTTCATCCGGTTTTCAAAGCACTTTACCTTATAAACTCTCGCTACCATAATTTTCAGAAGTTGATTATATGATTGAAATCTGTTGAGCATGGCGGATAGAACAATTGAAATTGTAACTCATTAATTTCCTTAAACAACTATGATCCCCGGTCTTGACGGGACTAAGTTCTGTCCTATCCTTGGTATTCCGGATTTGGCAGAACTTCGTCCCGTCAAATTTGGGGATCGTAGTCGTTAAAGGAAACGAATGAGGACAGAAATGTCTTGGTCAAACAATAAACGAATAGAGAACACATCTGTACCGGACATATATCATGTATCATTTACGTTCTTAAATTCCGCATCGATTTCGTGAAACCATATACATGAATCTGGTTAGGTGACCTAGCTGACTCACTGTACATCCCGACAGGGTAGATCGTCTCGTTTAGAGTAACAGCGAAGGATTTCATCTCATGTGGATGCAAATGCCCAGATGAAAAAACAAACAATCAAATTGGTTACATCTGACAGCGACAACAATTCACCACATCACCATCACCACATCAATACTTGTTTTCTTCGTTGTCACACACGCAGAGGTGAGCGCGCTCGCCAAAACACTCGCAAGACCGTGTTGTAAACCAACGCAAACACATACAGACATCCGGGGTCATGTTACCGGCCAAATTCTCGACCACCCAAACTGTGTGGCCAACATCTGGCGCCTTCTAGTCCCCATGCCTCGTAGGCTGCGTAAAGCATGAGGCAGAAGACGATTTTGCATTTTCTTTTATTCACGGTTATTTGCGTGCATACAATGTTACTACTCGACCGGTGTGATTGACGCCCCATAGGGACATGTTCTTTTCTAATTTCATGCACGCCTAAAATTCTTACAAAATTACAAGGGTTCGTTTTGGTGCTAATGGTAATCACTTTCATTCTCGTATTGAGTATATTACATGCATCCCATTTTTGGAAAACGTTCGTTGACACTTTCATTCGTAGTATCCCGGGTGACAATTGTGAGTGAATAAATAATTGTCGGGTCCGGTGATATGGTCCAATTGACCATTAATACAACATTCCTTCCCCTTTCTGATACATGACTCATCCAGTCATAAACATACACATATTTATCCAATTGATTGATGTGATCAGGCAAACTCGGAACAAATTATTCTAACTGACCCGTATCCCCTGTAGTTGTCGCTCGTTGGTGGCAGTGCTGATGTTGGCCTGGACGCATGCTATGCTATACGTTACAACACAGCTTCTATGGTCAAGACATGTCCATGGTCAATGAGGATTGACAGAACAGCAAGCGCCACAACAGCCTTCTCCTGTCTTGACAACAAGCCACTTGGACTGGCAAGTCGTGTTCGAACCACTTAACTTGATGGGAACCGGCCGTCGAATGACTAGGTGCAGTCAGACTTGAATGTGCGTGTGTGTCAGCTGTTCATGAATACAGATCAACGTTTCAGTATAAAAGTAGGAGACAGGTGTGTGTGCTTGTGTGCACGTGCATGAGTTTGACGCGGTTCGATCCAACTGTTCACGTCCCATGCCCGAATGATGCCTTAACAACGCCAACATGTTCGAGTATCTAGGCTGTGTACGCCTAAACAATGTACCGACTCTCATTTTCTTCACCTCCTACCCCCTGCCCAACCCCCTTTGTTGGTGGCTTGTCCCGCCCATCTGTGGAAACAGCTTATCCTCCTCCCGTATCCGCCAGTGGTCTCGAGCGTCACCCAGCAGCAGCCGCTATACCTTCGCCCAGTGCATCGAATGGATGGACTGAGTGGAGTCCATGTGCATGGTCTGCCGTTCAAAATCCTCTGACCGAGTCACGCCAATGTCAACAAACACGCTACCGCTTGTGCGCTGCCAAAGTGTCCTTGGCTCTGTCCCCATCAACGGGTCATTCCACTAAGATGGACCAGCTGAACTCAGTTGCTGAATCGTTAGATTGTCCAGCGCCGTGGATGCAAGCTCGAAACTGTACCCCAGCAGATTGCCAGCGTAAGTTGGTATTACGGACGAGGGACCGAGATTTGGTTCCATGCTCATTTTGCTTTGATAAACCCGCTCGAAATTAGCCATCATAACCATTAAAACAGTGCTGTATCAATTAATGTGCTAGGAATTATTTTGCATATGTGCACAACGTTAATGACCAAAAGCACCCGTATTTCAAACCATTTTGATTGCTAAATTGTGTCGTATCCTGTTAATGTCTACAGGATCGAGGACTCAAAACGTTGTGTTGACGCCAGTCTGCGCACGATTCTGTCATCAATCCGTTAAATGCGTCCGTCTAAGCACTACAGTCCAAGCAAATTGCGATAGTTTCTGTTACTCAGTTCTTCTATGTGGTTTATGATATTCTGTTAGAGTCTGTGTATGTGTCTGTTTTTTATGTGTGTATGCATGTGTGTGTGAAGTGGACTGGACGTGTCGTGGTTCGAATTAGTTATTTCAACAAAACTGCAGCAACACTTATCAAGTCACGCATAATTTATTCCATTAGGCGGATGGGTTTTCAGCTTAGCACAGCTCATAGCATTTCACGTACTAAAACAGTCGGAATAGGTTTGCATGAAAACCCACTCAGTGAAGAAATCGTCTCTGTACAGCTCAGAACCTGACTGTGCCTTTCTGCTCTTCCTGCATATACAGTTGTGTGACGTATGGGGATAGGGATACTGTGAGGAAAGAGTGTTAAGAAGCATCGTAAATTGAAACTGAAAGATCTTTCACTGTGGTAACACTTTTTAATGCAACAGAATATTGAACCATGCGTCGATACGTTCGTCGATTCAACATTTGATGTTCACATACCCTCTCTCT